CCTGACCTACATCACACGGCTGAGGTGTTTCTAGCTATGCAATATATCCAGAGTTGGCTCATGCTAGGCTGCATGTACGCACACAGCACGCCAACAGTGCCTTACCATGATGGAATGATGGTGATTGCAGAACAAAGACATCTCACCTAAATTTGCACCGAACAAGTGTCTTAACAAGCCCGAGAGCCCCAGCGACCCCAGCCTCTGGCATCTGTCAGTCTTGGTTTGTTTACAAGATGCATCACATAGGATTTACAGCTGTGTGCCAAATATGGGGCTTTTTTGCATCTCTTAAGCTTTTTGGTCACCCTATGCAAATACCACGCAAACCCTGGCAACCAATGTCACTCCACGCCATTTTTCCCTAAAAGAGATTTGACTACTAAATTGCACCACTCCCACAATGTAGGAATGAAAATCTCAAGACCTGCCTTCTAAGTGAAATGTAGTAGCTAAATGTTACTGTTAAACGCTTTCTTTCGCATCTTTTAAGCAAAATAGGTTGATAGGCATTCTTGATGGAAAAGTCTTAGCCTTTGTATTTATTTGTCGACCATTACATTTCCTTGTTTTTCTTCGTTTCACACACAGGTAAAGCAAACACAACTTTCCTTCCTCTTGTATAAGCACTGATGATGGTTCTGTGACCTAGAATATTAACCAAATTCTTTGCAAAACTTACCGACTGCAAACTCGTTAGCATTTCATACATATTTGTTTAATTCGTTAGCCGCCAAAACAGGTTTAAAAGACGCCGAAGACTGACAAATTCATAACGAATTAAACAGACAGTTTAAAGCAAACTATTTTTGCAGACAAATTTGCATTGTCAACCCTCTATTTTGCCTTTTTGGCTCATAGCATGGCTCAATAACGACAGATCTAAGCCATTTCAGTTTTGATATCTCACCAAGTTGTGTCATCCTGCCATGCATAGCATTGGGACGCGACTGGAGCAGGTAATACAGGAGTGTTTGCTATCGAAATTCGCCGTTTCAAAACCGTTCTCACCATATTTTCAGTGGAGAGTTCCCCTTACTGATTTTACAGTGTAATTTTAAACGCTAGTGGGTTAGATTAATAAGTATAAATGTTGGTGGGTTAGATGAGCCTATCTGCAGCAAACCATGTGAAAGATGCTGACTTTTGCTTAGGGGGAGAGGGAGGAGGAGAGAAGCCCAACCTTAAGAAGATGGTTCTTTTTCCGTTTGAGGCACCTAGTTGCTAGCTTAACCTAGTGATAAAACATGATTTATAACTAGATTTCGGTGTGTTCTGTCCACTTTCCTGCCAGTTTTGTTCATTACATTATGATGTCCGAAAATATTTAACTAAAACATTTTTCTTGAACGTTTGCACCAAATGTCTTGAAGTGGCCCTTATCTCATCCTCAACAAGATTTTGTCCACAGTTGTCATAGTTTGCTGACGTGAAAAATGGATGTATTTTTCTGCAAAATGCACTTATTTAACTATTTGGCATTATTTTCACAAAATGTGAGTTATTATTACCGTAACATCTTACCACATTTTTAAGCTAGCCAAAAATAAATACTACAGTGATGAATCCATTTAACATTTTGGTGTCTCCAAGGAAACATGAAAAAACATTAGGTATTCGCATAAATTAAAAAAAGGATGCAGATCAAACGAGGATTACTGAGGCCAATGACAAAATTCTCACAGGTGATCCGGATATTGGAAAAATTTTTCAATTGCTTCTTCACTGAGATTGGACAAAAGTTAAAAGACAAGATTCCTAAACCATCATTCAAACATCTCCTGCTCATCGCAAATGTAGAAAATCAAATGGATCTGCCCCCCACAAATGAAGCGGAATCAATTCTTGTCATCAATGGATTAAACAACGTCGGAGCTGGAGTTGACAATTTATTTTAAAAATATTTAAGTTATCTTATAGGGCAATACTGAAAGCAATTGTCCATCTTTTCAACAGCTGTTCATCATCGGGGACATTTCCAGACATTTTCAAAAAAACACGTGATTAAGTTCATCTTTAAAAGTGGGGACTCTCAATTTGAAAATAATGAAGTACGTATCAGCAATTTGCCGTTTAGGTCTAAAATTCTCGAAAAAATCTTAGATATAATAGACTCGTCTATCATGTAAACCAACACCACCCAATTCACCAAAATCAGTTCGATTTTCAGAAGAACAAAAGGACCTACATAACAATTTTTCTTCTCCAAGAAATTATCACTGAGGCTTTTGAATATGGAGAATATGTGCTAGGTTTGTGCTTAGATTTTAAAAAGTATTTGACGCTGTAAACATACATCTTAATCTATATAAAGTTACTGAATATGGTATTCGACGAAAATCCTATGAAAGCATTTCTTTTTATTTGTCTGGCAGAATTAAATGTGTAGAATTAGGACTTTCAAGTCTAATTCAAGTGTCATACGCAATGTCGATACGCTTTTGTTTCTGATGGGTTCTAGTTCTGTTCTGATGGTAAAGTGCCAATTTTATCTGCCTGAAGGTATGAACAAAATTTACACAGTAATGCATTACCCTTCCTTCGCATTTCCAACTAAATGTGCAAGTCAATGATTCAACTTTTGAAGAGCAAAACTCAAAAACCTTGGTGTACTCATTGACGAATCTCTTAAATTTGCAAGCCATATTAGTTTTGTTGCAAACATATTAAGTAGAAATATTGGAATAATAGGAAGGATTAGGTACTTCATTGATAAAACAACGTCACATCTACTCTGAAACACTTACATACTTCCCTATTCGAATTACTGCTGCCTCATTTGGGGTCTAAATTGTGGTTCTCAACTAGATCGGCTAGTCATTTTTTTAAAAAAGCTGTGCGTCTGATAGAAAACGTGTATCACCACAAAACTCCAAGCCAATCTTTAAACGATACAAAATTTTGAAACTATCGGATATCGTTAAATCCCAAATGTCAATTGTGATGCACAAATTTGTAACTTCACAGCTCCCTGCATCATTCGATTTAATAGACAAGCTCTACGAATCAAATGACATGAATATGAGGCGAGTAAAACATTTAGACCGACTTTTCTGTAATCGTAATTATGGACTTCTACAACATCATACCTTGGCCCTAAGCTATTGAACGACATCATGGTTTCATAGTTTCTGAGGATAATTGATATATCTGCATCAAAAACCATCGTTAAGAGCATCATTCGCAAGCATTTCGTAAATACATATTAACGTAACCAACATATTCGAAGATGTTGCAATCCTTTGCGCTGCACATATGTAACGCATTTCATATTTGACCTCCTTCATGCTCTATAATCCCGTTCTGATATAGTTAAAGTCATGCACATCTACCCAAATTCATGGCGCTAGCTCCGGGAGTTCTTTTAGCAACAAGCTCCGCTTAGCTGGGTGGATTCCCTGGACATCCATCTCAAAACCCAGCACGAGAATTACCAGTTGAAGGCAATGTTCCACCTTTGAAAATATCGCGATGAGCATCAGATATCATTCGAAAACCCTACTTGCAATTATTAGTAAGCTTTTAAGGTTCAAAAACGACCCAAACTAGCAAAATTTCGAAGCTTGTAAAAATGCGCCCCATTGCGTCCTTGTTTGATGGAGTCATGGAATCGTTTTGTGACGACAGCAAAACCAGCACGAAAATGACAAGGTAATTGCCGCTCCGACTTGTTTGACTGTACAACTCTTACTAACACTGTAAATGAATGGCTGTAGCTTACTGGGTGGTTATAGCGTGCGTTCAATAGCTGACTGGCTAATGACTACTTCAAGCCTTCTCATGTATGATTTTTCCTTGCCTCTTACAAAACACAATTCCTTCGGGTCTTCCACACCTCTTCGCCTGCTTCTTTACGTTTGTTTCCTCTTCCTAGTTGGGAGTGCCGCGACATTATTTTATATTTTCTGGTGTTAACGTACGGTTTATTGCGTTGCTAGAAAAGAGGGAGGGGCACTCCTGGTCAGCTGTTCTTGGGTAACGGTATAAAGACTTTTAAAAAAATAATATATTATGCTTCAGTGTGATCGCCCAATATGTGAGAAAAGAAACACATTTGTTGTTCTGTTCAAGAGAGGAATTCCATGTCTTCCAACTTGACATGCACGCCTTTTTGGCCGAGATAACTGTCCCTGACTGATGAGTTCTCGCATTTTATGACCTGAACTTTCACTAGTGTATGGTCTTTTCGCGGTGAAGAATTTCACTCCACACCGTAGCTCGAGAGCGATTCTAGCTCACTGTACGCACATGGCGATACCTTGGCCATACTCGCTGTTTTCACCCTGAAAAACCACATAAAACGTCACGTCTGGACCCAGCTGTTTGATGTCACACTTCTTCAAGAGCAGATCTCGTCATTCCTCCCGAAAATCCTTTTTGCCCTCTTTGATTGCAGACTTTTTGTGCTTTTTGGCTTGCATTTGTTTGGCACGCCATTGCGAAGGATATCGACATGCATTGTTTAACCCAAGTGGTCTGTTCGCTTGCCTACTTAAGACGGACGTCGACTTGATGACGCTGCGTATTGGCCTCCAGACAAAGAAGCAGGATCAGGGGTGTGGAGCAAGGAAACTGTGGGTTTCATGACACCATACGCTCCAAGAATGGTGAGCATACACCATATGGCGACGCATGAAAAAACTCAGATCTTAGTTTTAGCTCACACGGTTTCTGGGACGATCCTTGACGTATGACTCTAAGGAACGGAGCTAGGTTAAGGGAGTTTTAAGAACCCGTGCCACTGCGCTTCACAAAAAACAATAAAACCTATGGATAGTGCACCAACACATATTACCAAAGGGATCGGGCAAAAACGAGCGTCTGGCAATGTATGTTTAGCGAAGAAGTGTGCTGGAAAATAACAAAAAAGATCGGATATGTTCAGCGTGATATATTCAACGCAGATGTTGATCCAAGGTATTATTGTCTGACGTTGCGCTGCACTTCTTTACGTGGATGCTGGGCCCATACTTCTGTATTAAGTGGCCTGTGCCACGCACCGTTCAGCGCAGAGAAGCAGGCCCCCTCCAGCTGCATCACTACGCTCTCCCAGCTTGTTTTCCAAACCGCAATGTCTACACAGCGTTGCAGAGGGCAGATCAGTGCGGTTAACCCTGTCACGCATCTCCTTGGCATACAGCCACCGTTTCCACGAGTATAACGAGAGAACCAGCTCCTGCGGAGGCACTAGTGTCTCTCCTTCGATGTTCACAGAGCAACCAGACGAGAACCATGAAGCTGTATCTGTTTCTGGCTGCGCTGGTAGCTCTGTCGGCCGCCGCCGAAGACAAGAAGACAGACCGAGAGACCCAAGCCAGCGGGTACTCTTCTGTTTTGGGAGGGTATGGCAGGTAACTTGATACGAGTACTTCCCATCGTACGCTCCGCTAGGATCCCCACAAAGCTGAATTTGGTTCGATTTCATACCATTTTGTCGAGGATAGGGTCATTTCGTTTGGCGTTTATGTTAACTGAGTACGGCCTGTAAAGTGATCACCAACATTGAACGTTGGGTTATGTATTGGACAATATGTGTGGGCCAGTGACATATTTCATGCTAGCGGCCAGTCCCAGTTCTGCATTGTGGGAACGAGACACGGATCAATGTTTTTAGCTGGGACAGGCCATGAAAGAACGCACATAACTGGGTACGCCCTATGGCCTACCAATCGCAACACCAAGGCTGTCTTCCCCTGCGTGGTGCAACATCATCATCGTTACGTTACTGCATCCTGGCTGGACCAAAGAATAGGCTTTTGGCTTCACCACGAGACCAACCTCTGATGTCGCTGTCACTTCAGCTCTGTCGTAGCTACCACATAAACTCTGATTGCCTTCCCCCAGCCCGGCCATCGCTACCACTCCATTCAGGATTTCGCTACCACTTGAGTTCGGACATGAGCGCTGGCGTCGAAACACATCGACAAAGGGTCTCTAAAAAGCGATACATTTGCTATTTTAGTGGATCATTTCATCTTCACACGTATGAATATGCGTACGCACCACTTGCACATCATGCAATGAAATGTTCATGGTCTACTGAACTCGGAAATGAAGAAGAGGCAACGCTGCTTTAACACGCACCCGGGTGACCGATTGGATACCCTTGGCTCGGGTGGGGGTCAATTGGAACCCTTTGAGATCTCAGGAACTAAGGGGGCTAGAGATATCAAATTTACAAGGTGTGTTGGCCTGTATCTGAACTCACTTAGACCACAGTTAAACATTTCTATGTCATGCCCGTTGGTTCAAATAAGGTCAAGTACGGTCAGTCTCCAGGCTGGTCTCCAAAGTGATCATTCAAGGTCAGTCAACTTGTCTGACGTTTCGAGGTCATGTCGAAAATCATGCAAGACTGCTTTGAGTTTTGCATTCGAATAAACGACAAAGGTTACGCTAGGCAGGACGTTCCTAAAAACAAAATGCTGGCATGGGTCGTTTTAGGTCAGTGACCTATTCTGACCTTTGAGAAGCTTATGGAAGATGTATAATGTGGTTCTTGTTATCAATAAATGTAAAATGAGCGCCATAACTACCTAATACAGCTAGCCCTATAAAAATAAAACCGATTGGCTTTGACGTTCGGCTGTCCTTCAAAACTGGTCATAGGTCAATGGAATTTATTCTTCACTGGTGGCGTCGCTCAAGAAAGTATCTCAGAGATGTGTGGTCTCGTTTAACACTTCGTTGTTGCATCAGATTACACGATTCCCTAGAAATTGACTTCGCGAAATTCATGGTCTGACTTTGACCTACCTTAGGTCAGCGACCTTGCATAGAACATCTTTATTTTTGATGGCACACGATCCGCTATTGAATTGTGTACAGCTATAAACATTCGGCGCGGCCGCTCAGCGTTGTTCGGGACCTTTTCCGAAAAAACCTTCGAGGGGTCCATTTGACCCCAACCCGAGCGCGTGTTCATCTTGTCTGAGGGTAGCCCTAGCGACCCGCTCAAACATAGGACGGTTAGAAACCAAAAGTGAGGTATCCAGCTAACCACTGTGGGCTGTTCCGGACCCTGCTGAAATGGGAGCGCAGTAGAAGACCGCCTTGTTGGAGACGCAGGAGGTTCCGACACATGCGAATATACGACAATATGCAGATATCTCCCGCTGCATAGACAGGCTTATGTTACACATCACCTACTCATTAACCAAAATAATAGCCCCACCTATATCTGTAACTCATTAAGCTATAGGTGTGTATGCAGCACCTTGGGAACGCATCTCCAGCAGATGGACAGGTCCTGCATATATGCATTCTTCTCTAGCGCACGTGGAACATATTTTATCTTTTGTTGTGCATTTAGCCCTTCACATTTTTGTGACAAAGCCCGCCGCTGTCCTGCATTGGTTTTTGCCCAGTTCTTTCGCGGGATATCTGTTGCTGCATTGTTCGTAGTTTTGTGTCATTGTTTTTGGTAGGGCGCTGTGGCACGGGACCGAAATCTTCCCTCCGCCTAAGCCTGGTTCCTTTTAAGCATACGTCAAGGGTCGCCTTGGGGAGTGTAGGAGCTAAAACCGATTTCGAGATTCTTGTTTTCATGCGTCGCCATATAGCTCGCGTTCAGCGTTCTTGGGAAATGAGTGCTTTGGAACCCAGTTTCCTCGTTCCACAGCCTTGACAACTTCTTTACTTGAGGGAAGGCAATGCGCAGTGCGTTGGTCGTCGATTTCGGTCTTTAGTAGGCAAGACACCAGGTCATTTCGGACAGCACAGTATATTTCGGTTTCCTGTGTGTGATGTGTCGAAGACTGGAAAACAGAGAATACACAAACTTGCAGTTCAAGAAGACATAAGGAATAACGAGGAAAAATGGCAACAATCTTCATAGCAGGGAGTGCGACATTAAACATATGAGCTCAGGCATGTCGAATCCCTGGCATTCACAGGATGGAAACAGCAAGAACGATCACCAAACTGCCACGTGCGCGTTACCAACAAACTGGCTGCAGATCGTCCCGTATACACGTGTTTAATAATAACCTCCATACGTTCCGTTGCGTCCGCCATACCGGCTGTACGGAGAAGAACGCCTGCCGTAGCCGCCGTAAACTCCGAGGCGCCGATTGTAGCCGTGGTAGGCTCCTGAGCGACGTCCGTACCCTCCGTAGGCTCCTGACGAACGACCGCCGCTGTTGCCGTAGTAGCCACCGTATGCGTTATATCCCAGATCGTAGCTTCCGTAGCCGTTCAAGCTTCGCCCGTAGCCACGGCCGTAGCGGCTGTTGCCGTAGTAGCCCTGGCCGTAGTTACCTTTGTAAAGGGCCCGGTTGTCGTAGCCGCCGAAGCTGCGAGACCGTCTGACGACGCCGCTTCTAAGGAAAAAAGTGTCGGTGCGTTTGTTTCGGGATCGTGATGCTGCACGACGCATGGGAAGACAGGCTTGGTGTATGCAATTGGTAGGCCATACGGCACACCCAGTTATGTGCGTTCTTTCGTGGCCTGTCCCCAACTGAAAACATCATCGATTGGTGTCTCGTTCCCACCATGCGGAACTGCGACTGGCCACCAGCATGAAATATGTCACTGGCCCACACATATTGTCCAATACATAACCCAACAATCAATGTTCGTGATCAGTTCAGAGGCCGTGCTCAGTGAACATAAATGCCGAACGAAATGACCTCATCCTCGACAAAATGATATGAAATCGAACCACATCCAGTTTTGTGGAAATCCTAGCGGAGCGAACGATAGCAAGTGCTAGTATCAAATTACCTGCCATATCCTCCTAACACGGAAGAATACCCGCTGGCCTGGGTCTCTTGGTCTATCTTCTTGTCTTCGGCGGCGGCTGATAGAGCTACCAGCGCAGCCAGAAACAGATACAGCTTCATGGTTCTCGTCTGGTAGCTCTGTGAACACTGAAAGAGAGACACTGATGCCTCCACATGGGCTGGTTCTCTTTTTATACTCGTGAAAACAGTAGCGGTAAGCCAAGGAGATGCGTGACAGGGTTAACCGCACTGATCTGCCCTCTGCAGTGTTGTTTAGACATTACGGTTTGGAAAGCAAGCTGGGAGAGCATTGTGATAGCCTCGGCGGAGACCAGCTTCTCTGTGCTGAACTATGCATGTTACAGGCCGCTTCATACAGAAGTGTGGGTCCAGTATCCATGTAGATAAGCGCAACGCAATGTCAGACAATAATACCATAGCTCAATGTCTGCGGTGAACATATCCCGCAAACATGTCCGATCATTTGCTCTTATTCCCCAAAAGACTTAGTTGCGAAAAAGTCTCCGCCATACGCTCCTTTTTGTCAGATCCCTTTAGTGATATGTGAAGGTGCACTATCTGTAGTTTTTGTTGTTTTTTTTTCGTGAAGCGCTGTAGCAAGGGTTCGTAAAATTCCCATAGCATAGCTCCGTCCCTTATAAAGATACGTCAAAGAGCGTCTCAGAAAACGTGGGAGGTAAAACCGATTTCGAAGTATATTTTTTCACACGTCGCCATATGTTGTATGCTCATTCTCGGAACATGCAGCGCCATGAAACCCACAGTTTCCTCGCTCTACACCCCTGAACCTGCTTCTGTGCTTGTAAGCCAATACGTAGTGTCATCGAGGCGATATCCATCTTAAGTAGGCCAGCGAACAGGCCATTTGCGTTAAACTCTGCGGCAACAGCCGCTACGGCCGTAGTTACAGGCGCAGCTTGAACGGCTACGGAAGCTACGGAGTGGGATGTAACGGATACGGTGGCTACCACGGCAACGGTGGCCTCGGTGGCTATACTGGATACGGCCTTTCGTCAGGAGCCTACGGAGGGTACGGACGTCGCTCAGGAGCCTACCGCGGCTACAATGGGCGCCTTGGAGCCTACGGCGGCTACGGCAGGCGCTCTTCTCCGTACAGCCGCTACGGCGGACGCAACGGAGCGTATTATGGCCACTACTGAATGCCTAATCGACGGACACGGCCTGAAGCCAGTTTGTTGGCTATACGCCCATGGTGTTCCCATGAGCGTTTCCACTTTCCATCCTGCAGCACCAAGGATACGCCGTCGATAGGTCGGCCCCACCTCACTGATG